CTAATAATCATTCTTTTTTCAAAACCAGGTATTACCTATATTTTCCTGCAACTTATTCAATATATAGTTAATTAAATACTCCTTCGCCCATTTAGTACTAAATTGCAAATTTCGACATACTAAAACGCTGTTTTCTGACTATTAGAATTCTGTCAAATATTCCCCAAAGTCCAGGAATTCGAAATGGCATTTCAGAGACTCTAAATTTAAAAATTTCCTTCGGCCTTCGGCCCTCGCCGAATTGATTTATTAATAATAAATCAATCATTAACACACATGTCCAATTTATAAAAACTGTATGTTTTGAATCAAATTTGATTCATTTTCAGCAGTGTTTCGCAAGATTTGTCGTTATATTTGCAAGACATGTCGTTATATTATATTATCCTTATATCTATCTAGTATATTTGCTGACATTATCAGCTGGAAAAGGATGTCTCATGCACTTTACCATTATAGCACTTACATACCCTACTTTTTCACCCTCAGTCGAACACCAGGTGTTGGTTACATCAAAACTGGATTAGACTTTCAGTGCTGTTTGATTTTACTATGTCAAACATCAGAGGTTAATAGTACAATGTACTAGGACATCATTGCAATGGGGTATAGAGGGTTAATTTCAATTTCCTTTGTATGCCGTGCTTGAAGTTTTAATGCTGGGTGGGTCGCCGGTTAATATAGGTAAAAATGTCAATTTGATCAATGTGTTGTGTTGCAACTCGATTATGGAAGTGCCCTAACTGGATACAGTTAAAGTCCTTTGTTTGCTTGTTCAAAGTTTATAATATATGAATACATTTATCTATACTACCTGCATGATCTGCCTAATAATATATATATATATATATATATATATATATATATATATATATATATATATATATATATATATATATATATATATATATATATATATATATAACAACCTTTGGGCTACATTTTATATATCTTTAGAGACACCTCGGCAAGTCACGGCAAGGGTGGACTGATGTTTTTTTGGAATTACCCATTTCACTCCGATGTGCCCAATTTTCAGCCCAATTTTCAGCAGTTTGTCAAATGTTATACAGTTAAGCTGACATGTATTGGCAATAACTGCTTGATCTGCAAGGTGCTTGGTGGCATGGGTCCTGAAGCTTTACATAGCTGACAATTGAGCCATACCTGCTAATAGACTACTAGACTGCCCGTATTGTACGTAATTGATTTGAAACCCAATCGTGTAATTAGATTCCTTACAGATACTTAAACGTTGGTAACTCTGGCTGTGGTAAACAATGCCATTGACTTGACACTGCTTAAACAGCCACATTCACCCCCCCCCCCCTTTAAACTGCCAGAACCTAGCAAT